TGTAGTTTCTGTAGTATATTCTATGCAATACTGTGTGCAGAAATTCAAAAATTGTGGAAAAGGAAAAATATCACAAACCCCATAACCATATAAGGCCGCACGTAGTGTAAGAGACTCTGCAACAGCAAACTAAAGTTAGCTAGAAAATACAAGTTTTCAGTATTTCTGGCCCTGCCCTGCCTTAACCAGGACCGCTTAAGTCCTTTAAAATCAGCAATGCATTAAGGTTTTATAATCCGCTTCACAATTTGAAATTCAAACAACTTCAGACTGCCGAACTCTACAAAAATATTCCCAGGTCCTAATTGTTTTCCGAGTGAAAATGTCATGGAGAATAATCGCTTGGAATCAAGAGAGAGTTCTTATCTGTGCACGTTATTTTTCTACTGTGTTTTGGGGATTAATGCGTGCGAGTTTGTTTTACTTAAGGCATGTCAAGTGGCGTTCTGCGCATTGAAATATAGTTTACCTAATCCTTTGAAAGAAATACTTGAGTGTAGTGTGTCATGTCTAAGCGTAAGGCCAATTAAAGATTAGGCAACTCTCTTAATGTGTGTAACTAGTGACTTTATAAGTCATAACTTTCTCTAAACTAGAAGTATAGCAATTCGATTGAAAGTCATCCGCAAATTACAGCTCTGCAGCATTGGCTAAGCCCTGCAAACGCCCTAATTGCAGAACATTATGGGGAAATTATTATTCTGCCATTTCCTTACATTTAATAAGTGTGTATCTGTGCAAGGGTGACAATAGAAGGGTTTGCAATCTGCTGCATGGGAAATTGAATGGAACAGATCATGAGGGGCGGATCAGGAGGTTTCGATTTCAAACCCTGGATACCGGAGCAATGCCTTTTCTCTCCCCGCAAATACAGATTTAACGCATTAAATGCAGACATAAGTAAGTCTCCTGACCAAAACAAGACATCGCTTTGCTTTCTTAGCTCTTTCTCTTTCCTGCCCTTAAAATATCCCCCAATTTATTGTTAGAGTTGCTAGTCAGAGCGCAGAAATACAGCTCCCACAGCCACCTGATCATCTTTGAAAATATTATCCCTTCTAAATTAAAGCATCCTCACTAATGTTTTTCTGGAAGGCAAATGCTCATGGACCATCACAGTCACATGTTCGTGTAGCTACACGCACAAACAATATCAGATCCGACACAGCGTGTAAGATTTGCAAGGATTTCACCTTATAACGCACAGAAGGAACTTTCCTATATCCCGCCCCCCCCAAAAATGTCTTTTCAATAATAATATTTGCTATGAAGGTTATTGGGTAATTATTGCAATTTTGTGGAACAGTCCTTGCTTGAGGTGAAGTCTGTCTCTGGATAACAAATGGCAGCCCGTGCAGTTCACTGCCAGGTTAAGTAAATGCAGAAAAGATAAATCTGCACACCCTAGGAATCACCAGCAGAGCTCGCTTTAGACCAAGTTCACAGTCAACTCGTTTGCCTAGAGAAGGCTTCGCAAACAATTAGAGTTGTTTCTTTACGTTTGAAATCAAGGCGAAATGAAAAAGACCCTAACAGCAGAGAGACCCAGCTTTTCCCCCAACGCTAGTCACTACTTTCCTTCCAACCTCACGCCCAAAACTTACCCAGCTTTTCACCTGCAATTGTAACCATAAAGCGCCTTTGAGTAACAGACTTCCCTCCAACGCTGGCGAAAGGGTGTGCAAACTGATTTAACAGCACTTTACCAAGCTGATAGATTAAAAAAAAAAAAAGCAGTAATTAAAAATGCAAAAATATCCAATTTCTCAACAATAAGAAGAAGGAAAAAAAACTTAGAAAGCTGGGGGAAACGGCACAACTATTGAAACAAACAGTGCGAGTCTCATACTCCTAAAAGAAGCTGCATAGCTTTTGTATATCTTTGTGGTTAAGGGCGTTACAACTGCAGGTCAAAAAGTTGAGGGTCAAAAGTTTACGTTTTGCACCACTCTTCGTCATTCGCCCAGACAGAGTTTGATGTCAATGTTATAGCCGAGATCTTGACTATCAGCACAAAAGATAAAATAGCTTTGAGTTACGTGTGTATCACAGTATGGACTCCAGGTGAACCCTACTGGCTGAATGACCTCAATTACCGAGGAAAGGATAGAAAATTCCTCTTTTCAAGAGTAATACACGTTGTATTTCATCTTGAATTATCGGCCACACTGTGGCTGAATATCTCGGGTTCAGCGCGGCAGGTAAACATGCATACATGCATGTTACCCCCACACCAGCCACTGGTGCTGCCTCCTCAAGGCGTCAGGTAGCGAAGTGTTTCACTCTTGTTTATTATATAATAACGTGCTTAAAGAGGTTTAATGTTAAGCCTTCTCACTTTGCAAAATGGCAGGAAGATAAGATAGGAACAAAGCTATTAACGCGTGTATCGATCCTAGCTGCGTCTTTGTTTTTGCTCTCAAATCTGCAGCGACCACTAAACTGTGCTTAAACAGGACATGCTGGAGATAATATAGGCTGATTATACGTTTAGTTCGAAAGAGCTCGTTTAAAATGCAGAGAGATGAGACCGTATTGTGCTACAGATAGAAAATGTTGCTGAGGAGCTGGGGCCCCTGCGCCGCCCCAGGATGCAGAGGGCTCCCCGAGCCTGCTGGAAGCACCCCGAGGCAGCGCTTCGCAGTTAAATGGCTGCCCGAGAGGCAGGCGGGTGCTCCCTTTTCCCCAAAAATGTGTAGTGGGATTTTTTTGTGCAGGGAGTTATTTCTATGTTGCTGGGATTTTGGTTGTTATTTCCAAAGCCGCCTCGGTGTTGAAGCTTTAACTCCTCAGTTAGGCGTCCTTGGAAGAAGGACTGGCCAATATTAACAGGGAATTTCATTTGAGGGGAGACAACTGTAAACGGCCTCCGCATTCAGGCTGAAATTGTACTGATCGGGGTCTATGAAAGAGGAAAAGGATATTCCAGCATATTCAGAGGTAGATGTGAAAGGTGTGGAGGAGGGGGCAGTGCAATGAGGAAGCTAGAGGAAGAGCGCACCTCAACACCATCCATGCGTAGCTGCTTTTCGACTCACAGGACTCGTCTATACCGTCCTCTATGTATTGGGTTCACGTGAATTATTTGCCAGAGACACAGCTGGATCATGGCACTCTAGTGATATTTCTAGAGAGCAAATACGCGAGGTGTTAGATTTCAGATTAGCCAAAGTTATTACTGGAGATTTTGCCTAAAGTACCTGCTGAAGCATAGAAAGTGTACATAAGTATTTGCTTGGCAAGTAGACATTGTTCACAAGATCCTGCTGTTGCTAACTTGTAGCAAGCCCCTGTGTTACACATTTGGTGAGCCTTTTCTCACTGGAGATATTCTACAACCTTTCACATCTAGAGTATTTATTTGGTGTAAGAGCGAAGGCTGATAACAAGCTAAAACCCGTAGCCAAGTATCTATTTTGCTAAAGAATAGTAGGCAGATTGTTTCCAAGAATAACAATGCGTCTTTGATACTCCCAGAACGAAAGCTGTTACTATAAGTGGGTTACTCCAGAGTAGGTGACTGAAATACATTTGTTTCCTTACCAAAACAATTAGTCGCTCCAATTCCATATTTTCAATCTAGTTCGGAATAAAAATATAAATGAGACTATTTACAAAGAAGTTCAGACTGCAACTTCAATAAATATTAGCTGTTCTTAATGGTTGTTCAAATTATCCCTCCAAAAAAACAAGGACCCGAGCAGTTATTAATTTGAGACCAACTATTTCTTTCCTTTCGTTCTCTGCATTCAGCACATTTCACTCTGGCGTGAAAGATCTGGTCAAAAGACCATTCACTTAAAATCCGAGCACAAATCACATTTTATATGTGCTTATTTAACCAGACCAGGACAGAGCGAGCAAATCCCGCCAAACATCCTGTTGTTAAGAGCCTATCCTACGCCAGCGAAGTCATCGCTTTTACAAAAAGATGAACTTGGGGCAAAAATGTGCGAGCTTTGCCCCAGGAGCGACCATGGAAAACGCCCGCTTCCAAAGGCGAAAGGCAGTAGCTGTCTTGAGAGCTTTCTGAGCGCTGGGAACAAAGGAGGGGATACAGTCGATACATTCCATAACGTTTACATTTTCCCGCGATTTTTTTCTTAATTTTCCCTTAGAAGTAGTGACCTGGGCAAAGCACCCTGCTATCTAAAAGACACTGTTATAGACCTTTTAGAAAAACTAAGTCCAAGGCCGAGGTGAACTTCAGGTCACCGCGTCTAACAAATATGAAAATGTCGCCTGGTGAAGGGCACGCCTTGTTATTTAACAAAGACTGTCAATGTGTAAGATTAATAAGAAACAAAATGCACACGGTGTCACTTTTCGGTCACTTTGAAACTTGGGACAGCCTTGCATTCAAGAGGGGAAAGCTGGGGCTAAATATATTCAAAATGGTTCAAATCAAATTCAAACCAGCCTGCTAGTGCAAGTCTTTCTCCTCAGTTCACTCTGTGGAGGGTGCCTGGGCACGGCGAAAGAATGAATTGAATTATTATTATTATTATCATCATCATTATTATTACTACTACTACTACTACTACGATTATTGTTATTATTTTATCTTTCGTGGTATTATGTTTTAGCCGCGCACGTGGAAGCTAGCAGATGTGCTTGCATGTTCACAAGAAACAGGGGGTTCCCCCTGTCCCACTGTTTGGGTATGTATGAGGATGGCTCTTCTCGGTGCATGGAAATTAACTCTCTCACGCTCAGCTTAATTTCAGTGGACTCCCTATCTCTTCCTCGGCTCGATTCGGCGGGCAAACTCGCGGACCTTTATTAACTGATTAAAGTCTTCTTCACCAGTGAAATCGAGTCGTTAGTCCTACTATAAAAATAAGGAACCTGGGTTACTTTTTCTTTTTTCTTTTTCTTTCCTTTCCTTTTCTTTCTTTAAGCGGTTAGGATGAAGCTACAAGTTAGTAAAGGGAAGTGCCGGGGAAAAAAGGTTCTGAGATTGTTTATTACAGCCATAAATCTTGCAGTAAAATGTCGAAATGGCCGTGTGCAAGATAACACTTGGTGGTCTTGGCTGGGTTCTTGTTTATGATAACAAAACCACAAAGACATGGAACAGGCCTTTTGGAGGTCCTGCCTCAGCACATCTTCGCCGACTAATAGAGCCACACGAAAAAACAGACTTCAGCTCAGCAACTCAGGTCACCTTGTAGATTTACAGTCGTATACAAAATTGCATCCTTCTCTGTTTAACTGAGCGCTAGAGACACACAGTAGAAAGAGGTGCAGTTAAACAAGCATACTTTGAGATCTAATCACGATAACAGTGTGAAACAGAACCTGGTCAACTCTCCGAATATAGCACTGAGCATACAAGTTGAGGTACCAGTTTTCGTTGTATTGCGCTGTGGCTTGGAAGCACGGTAATCTGCTGTTATGTTCTAGCCATGGTGTCTCAGGACTTCTCTTATGCCGAGGGTAATATTTACGATAATACAGAGTAATTCATCTGGTGCTGCCCAGCAGGTATTTGTACGAATGTGTCTGTTATGTGTGCATGTTGTATCTCTTTACGACGGGAAAACGCTCTCTCCTCGTGGTGGTCTTTGTGAATCTTTTATTTTTACAGCAATGTAGGTGGGAGCTTTATTCTTTTACTATACATATATATATATATATATATGTATAACAAAAAAATCTCCTCTTTCCTGTCAAATGTGTGTTCCTGAACAGTTGCGGCTGTCTCTGTCTGCATGTGTGTAACCGCATTTCCTCTCCATGCAGAGTAAATAGAGAAACTTATCTATTACTCCAGTTAAAGAGCGCCATAGATGTTCTGTTGGAAATGAGTAAGTAAATGTGTTTTAACTCTCTTTACAAATTGGACATTCGATATGAGCAGGAAATGAGTGATTGTTTAGATAAGTACCCCAGTATACCCAAGTGTTGGAAATGTTCTAACATATTACAAGCCGCCTGCAATGTGCGCGTGTATGTGTATAAAATATAAATCGATACGATATGTGTCTAGTTAGATAGAATATATATTCAAATAGAGTTTTATTGCATGTATCCATTATCTATAAAACTGCAAAAGACAATAATCTGAATTTAAACCAGGGTAACTGTTAACGTAATATCTTTAGGAGGGGAAGATCTAAAACGTATCATATTTACGCTTGATATATTAGATGTATTTTCCCATACCAGAAGATGAGATTATCCACTCAGTAATTATATTCTCGAAGGGTGCGGTAAATATTTCTATGTTTTTATATGCTTTCCTGAAAGGGGGAACAAAATCCGAAAAGTTTGCTTCTAACTCCCATTCTGCAAAGGTAGATGATGTTCAATAAGAATTTTTCTCTCCTTAGAATAAGAGTCTAATTAGTCTAACCATCAAATTTCAATTACCTAAGGTCAGGGCGGTTGCCTGTTTTCCCTCTGAGCTGCAAATATCGTTAACAGTCTCAGTTTTAGCAATGCCAGAGTGCCCTCTCCCTCCTACGCCAGGGTTTGTGAGTTACTACTGCGAAGGCGCTGGCGATTTCTCGTAGAAATAAAAATGAATAAATAAAGCCAACGCGAAGCATAGCAAACCGGCAAA